TTATTTGTAGAGCATTTTTCAAAAACAAGTTACAAAGTGCTTTAACAAGTGTAAAGACAATAATACCCAAAAGACAGTAATACAAAATCAATACAAGATAAAAGCAAGAAAACATTGAAAAGACTAAAATACACATTTAAGATAAATATAAAATTTGTAAAATAAAATAAAAGGGATAAAATAAAGTCAAATAAGATCATGAAAGGCTCTCCTATAAAAGTATGTTTTAAGAAGGGACTTAAAAGAGTTCACTGACTCAGCTGACCTGATTTCCTCGGGCAGGCTGTTCCAGAGCCTCGGGGCCCTGACAGCAAACGCTTTGTCCCCTTTAGTTTTCAGTGGAGACTCTGGAACAGACCTCTGCCTGAGGATCTCACGGTACCTGCTGGTGTGTATGGGACTAAAAGGTCAGAAATATAACAAGGTGAGAGGCCATGTAGAGCTCTAAAAGTGATCAATAGAATTTTAAAGTCAATTCTAAAACATACTGGGAGCCAGTGTAATGAATCTAAAATAGGAGTAATGAGGTCATATTTCTTTGTTCTGGTTAAAAGCCTGGCAGCTGAGTTCTGGACAGTCTGGAGTCGATCAATAGATTTTTGGGTTAAACAGGTGAAAAGGCTGTTAATCCAGGCTGTAATCCAGGAGTGATGAGATGAAGGCGTATAAAATGGTCTCGGTGTCCTTAAAAGTTAACATAGATCGAATTTTTGTTATATTTCTAAGTTGATAAAAACATGATTGAACAAGCTTTGTGGTGTGCTGCTCGAAATTTAAATTTCAAACCAAACACCAAGGTTCTTTGCCACTGGCTTAATGTGATTTACTAGGGAACCAGCAGATGGCAGTATTTGATTTGCCATCTGCTGAGACCCGATGACCAGGATTTCTGTTTTGTCTGAGTTCAGCTGGAGGAAATTATTTGACATCCATTTTTTAACTTCACAAAGGCAGTTGTTAAGTGAACTCAGCATTCCAGGGTCTGTGGATCTGACGGGCAAGTATATTTGTGTGTCATCATGATTAAAGAACTTATGTCTCAGCAAGACCTGGAAAAACTTCCATCCATCCATCCATCGTCAACCGCTTATCCTGCGTACAGGGTCGCGGCTGAAAAAACTTATCCATGCATATATCAGTCTACTCAACTACAGTAACAGTGTCTTTACAGGGCTAAGAAATCCATCAGACAGCTGATTCAGAACGCTGCTGCTTGAGTCCTCACTAAGACCAGAAGGTGGATCATATCACTCCAGTTGTGAGGTCTTTACATTGGCTTCCTGTATGTCAAAGAATTGATTTCAAAATACTTCTGTTAGTTTATAAAGCACTAAATGGTTTAGGGCCAAAATACATTTCTGATCTTCTGCTTCGTTACGAACCATCCAGACCTCTCAGGTCATCTGGGGAAGGTTTGCTTTCTGTACCCAGAGTCAAAACTAAACAAGGAGAAGCAGTGTTATTATTAGCAGTTATTATGCTCCATATATTTGGAACAAACTCTCAGATAACTGCAGGTCTGCTGAAACTGTAAGTTCTTTCAAATTCAGACTGAAGAATTTTCTTTTTACCATTGCTTTTAATAAAATTTTTACACAGTGAGAAAGGAGTAGGTAATTGAGTGAAGAGATAATGAGAGTGAGATTGAACAGAGTGAAGGAAGTGGTCTTAAATCTCGTGCCTGAGTGATTTGCAGGAACCTCTGTCCACCTGTAAACGCGCAGGTGGGTCCAGAGTATAACTGGATCAAAGTGGCCTGCGGACAGACATGTCCTGGTTTCTCTGTAGTGTCCGAGGGTTTTTGGAGTTTCAGTGGACCCAAAGATTGCTATGGACCCAAGTACAGACTAGCTAGAGAGAGTAGATTAACTGTACTTCTCTGTTTATTCTCTTTTCAGAATTCAAAATTGTAATTTCCTGGGGCAGAATTAAACAAAAACATGGATTACAACACATTGTTGTATTTTGTTGTATTTATTGAAGGAAGAAAGAAACAGTGCAAAAAGGATTCAGCAGGGTCAGACGTCTACCACTTAAGGCAGAATCAGACATCTGGCCCAGAGCAGAGGATAAACGTAACATAAGAAGCAGGGACAGTGCTCCCTCACACTTCAAAACTCACCTTCCAATGGGAATGGAGACATAAGACATGACAATTTCACAGATGTTCATACCCACACACAAACCCTGTCATGTCCTGGTGGACAGTGTAAGAACGTGACTATAAGTGCAGAATGTTGGATATATAATTCAATTCAAATCAGCTTTACTGGCATTTAACAACAGTATTGCCAAAGCTACATATAAATTACATAAAAACAATTAATTTCATACATTTCATTAAATTAGTACATAAAACAGTAAAAGTTGTGTTTGTGTGTGTTAATAAAACATAAAATAATAATAAACATATTTATCAGCATGAATATGAGACAGATCAATTTTCTGCCACCACAATCCTCTCTCTGGCCACAACGTCAACACAATATCCATATCAAAATTTGCTTGTACATAATTCAATGCTTACAGTTAACTGTTTGAACAAATGCTTCATCAGTTAAGAACAGAAAATTAGCTTTAGCTGTCTTTTTACAAAAAAACTAAACACTTAGGTAATGGCCTGTATGGGACAAGTGAGCAAACCCACTTTGTCACACTGTATGACACACACACACACACACACACACACACACACACACACACACACACACACACACACACACCTGCCTCTATCAGCATACTTTTTTTTGCAGGGCACCTATTCTCTCACACTGTGTTACTGTGTCTTCTTCCCTGTTTCTACATCTTTCCACTTCTCTTTCTCTTTTTTATAAGTAGGCTACCTCTGGAAGAAGAGGTAAATGCCCTTTAGGTGGTGCTCCAGAGCTATTTGCTATTTAGGGCCTGAGCACGACTGTGCGAGGTCCCTATTGAATTTGTAAAGATTATATTTTTAGGGCCCGAGCATGACCGTGCGAGGTCCCTATTGAATTTGGAAAGACTTTTTTCTGCAAAGTAAGCTCCATTTTGGGGACCTGAGCATACTCGAAAACTCACCAAACTTTGCACACATGTCAGAACTGAAAATTTCGTATTTTATGGGTTTCGCGCATGGGCGGGGCAAAATGCCTCGCTAGCGCCACCTAGAAAATTGGAAAAGATTAGCCCCTCGTTCACGTTCAGCCTACATGTACGAAATTTTCTGGGGACATGTATCATATCAAGACGCACAAAAAAGCCTCAAGAACCCATACCCTAAAGTCAACAGGAAGTCGGCCATTTTGAATTTTACGTCAAATTTTGGATGATTTACACACTTCGTACTTTAACGAACTCCTCCTAGGGATTTAGTCCGACCGACTTCAAATTTCTGCTGTGCCTTCTAAAGGCATTGAAGATGAAAAGTTGTGCTATCTGTGAGTTTTCGTCAATTGGCGTGTCCGTGGCGTGGCGTCAAAAATCAACTCTTCGCCATGACACAGGAAGTTGTTGTAACTTAAGTGTACATGCTCACCTGAAACAAACTTTAGGTGCTTGATAACTCTCCCACCCCGCTATGGAGGACCGATCCTGACACAGTCAGAAATAAATAAATGCTCAATAAATAAATAAGCATCCAATTAAATACACAATTCCTTCAGTGCGCTGAGGTGTTTAATAGCTCTGAAGACAATACCAGCCATGTCTTCCTTCTCTTTTCACGTAGACGCTCCGACAGACAGTGCTTTCAGTTTGCTGCATGCATGGACACAGAACTGCGGTATAGGGAGAAGCACACGGTCAGCTAGCTGCAGCTAAATCTGGAGTGCACTCGTATTCAATTCTGTATGGTAAATTCAGTTTTAACGGAGCAGAGCGAGCTGACAGGCAGAGTTAGAGACTTTTTCTGTCCGTTTCTCTCTTTAAAAAGACGCATGTTGCAGTCAGAGTCTTCTCTGAAGAGGACAATGAAGTCTCAGTAGTACACGATGCGAGCACCACATACAACACAATTTATCAAATTACACAACGGATATACAGTATGAAAATAAGATTGATTGGATTATACTCACAGGAAGTATAAAACCTCTTACATGGGTCTATTAAAAGTAAAGTAACACAAAAATGTCAGGGAAATTACTTTACTTAGATTTAAGTACTGCAGTTGTACATTTGAAATACCTTCCTACCTTTCTGATAGGAAGCCTTCTTGAGGTGGTATAAAACATTTCTTCTTATATTCTGATTTGAGCTGTGGACAACTATGACCACATGAATTAAAAAAATTAAACATTTCACTGCCCAAGTCAGCTATAACACAAGTCTTGTTCAGCCTATTTATTTTCATTCATTACACAATATGAATAAGCTATGCAGACAGTTGTAAAGAAAGAACATCTTTTTCTTCTGTTCTCTACTTGTTATAGTTACACAGTATTAGGGGTGTGGGCTGTATTAAAAGTATCCACTGTTCTCCCATGCTCTAACACACAGTAACGATGAAATGTGTGCTGTTCTCACATTCTTCCTCTGTATATACACATAAACAACAAGGCAGGGAAATATAAAAGGAATTTATTTTATTGTTTGGGTACATTATTGTTCAGTGTACATGCTCACATCTGAAACAAACTTTACGTGCTTGATAACTCTCCCACCCCGCAGACATCTACACACCAATACCGATTTATATTCATAGCAGCAAGTGCTATGTAGCTCCACATAGGGGACACAGGAAGTGACATATAGCACCTTCATGCGGCGTCGGAACCGCGTAGGAAATTCACAGCCGCACCGGCAGAGCTCCAGAATGTGCAACTCGGGCGGCTCACGCCCGGACGCGCTTATAAGTAAGAGGGCCCGCCCAACGCTGCTTGCAGCTTTAATTATATTTACATTTTGTCTCAGGACAAGTTTAACTCACACAACAGGTGTAGTTTTAGAAGCCAATTTTGCAAAGTGGAAAGGAAGTCACACTGCCCCCACCCCTCCCTTCCCTCACTCCAACCCACCCTCCCATCATGCTATATAACAGTGCCTGATAGTAACCATGCAGAAAATAGCTCTAACAAGAACTGCTGATGTACGGCTCTTCCTTAAGAGGGTAAGTGTCTCTTAACATGCTCTAATAATGTTTTACATATGGTAGCTTGTCTCACTGCTTCCTCTCTATCAAAAAACACCTGTTTTATCCGCTGCTTTAATCCCCTAATTTTTTATTTTGTCCTGTATTTTAACTAGGCTAATAGTAATCTGAGATTTCGAGAATAAAGTGATATTATCAGGGGGAAAAAAGTTGTAGCCTAATAATTCGAGAATAAAGTCATAATAAATAGTTTTGTCTGTCTCTGCGTCCCACTAGAGCAGGTTCATGTCTAAAGGTCCGGTTCCTGAACCGAACGAGCGCCAGAAAGATACATTGTGTAGCCTATGGACACATGATTAAAGGAAATAAAATGGAAATGCAAAGTACTGCAACAGAAGGTGGGAAGTTAGACTGTTGCGGTGAACCCCTCATATGGTAAGGCAAGAAAACATGAAAGAGATAGAACAAATACTAAAACAACAAATGTGTCATATATAAAATAATGATTATTATTGACAAATTATTAGGCCTAATATTATTGTTGTTGTCGACACCTTTGTATATGTAGCACATGGATATACTGCATTAATTTATTCATTCAAGGAAATATAGTCTAGGGACCATTTTAAGCATTTTGCAGCGAAACACAGAGAAATTATTATCTATTAGGCTACATTATAAGACTCAGACGGAGGATAATTCACAAGCACGGACCAGGTAAAGTGAACACTTTGATGCAGGTGCAACTGGGTACAATGTTGGTTTCGATTGACTTCCTCAGTAACAAGCCTCCTCCGCGGGTGAAAACAGAATCGGGGGTGGAAATCGCCAGTGCATTGTCATTTCGGCCACTTTATAAAACAGCCCACTGCTGATGGAGAAAGTCCCCAGGGCCGATAAATACAGGGAGAAAGAAAGAAAGAGGTAGGGCAAGCTACTGTGTTTGCAGAAGAGGTGTATGTTCCGTGCTTTGTGTGGAGATGTTAGAAGTGAAGGCAAGGAGAGCAGAATTAAGTAGGCTAGTGAGTAATGTTTTTATTCATGTGTGTTCCAGTGTGGAGCGCAGTGTGTGAGAAAACATTTTTTTCTGCAATGTTCTATAGGCTACTGTGTTCATGTATGTTGCTGGAATCGGTAGCCCTGGTCTTCTTGTAGGCTACCATGGGAGGAGTGTGGTAGAGGAAGGAAGAAAACAGTGCACATAAATGTTCTGGTTGGAATTGACTGCAGTAGAGACAGACAGTAACAGCAGACAAACAGACAGAGAGCACACAGACTCTTACTTTAATTTAAACATACTCCTGCATGTGTAAATGTGTTTTAAACGTGTGCTCTAATAAACTATTGAGCATTGTGTGCCAGTCACACGAAATGTTACTAATCTGTTACCAAAGATTTGAAAGCGAAATTGGTTAGGTAAATATGTTCTGAAAAATAGCTTGGAACAAGAAATGTTAAATTAGAAATGAAAATGCTTTGAGAACAGTTTTATTTCCACAATAAGAAAACATGCAATGCAATTTAAACATAGAAGAAACAAATGTGCTTTGTCCAAGAAAGTTACTTAAGCGCTTAAGTGCTTTACACAAAACTTATAAAAGCAACAGGGAAATATAAAAAAGTTTAAAAGCAACATAGGGAAATTGAAAAAATACACATTAAAATATAATAAAAGTTACAGTGCAGTGTACAATCAGGGTTAAAAGAGTTAAATGGAAAATAAAAACAGGCTGAGGGGTTGAGCGAATAATTGAGTTACAATAATTCTGAAAAGAGAATAAACAGAGAAGTACACTTAATCTACTCTCTCTAGCTAGTCTGTACTCGGGTCCATAGAAATCTTTCGGTCCACTGAAACTCCAAAAACCCTCGGACACTACAGAGAAACCAGGACATGTCTGTCCGCAGGCCACTTTGATCCAGTTATTCTCTGGACCCACCTGCGCGTTTACAGGTGGACAGAGGTTCCTGCAAATCACTCACGAGATTTAAGACCACTTCCTTCACTCTGTTCAATCTCACTCTCATTATCTCTTCACTCAAATTACCTACTCATTTCTCACCGTGTAAAAAATTTTATCAAAAGCAATGGTAAAAAGCTAAAAACAAAGAACAAAGAAAACAATACAGTAAATGTTACAGTGCAGTGTAAGTTATCAATCTACTAGTTAAAGGCAGTGGTAAAAAAGAAAAGCAACAAAAAAGCTACTGATTACTGCATTATCCATCCATCCATCCATCCATCGTCACCCGCTTATCCTGCGTACAGGGTCACTGGAGCCAATCCCAGGCGAAAGTCGGGGTACACCCTGGACAGGTCGCCAGTCCATCGCAGGGCCACACATAGACAAACAACCACTCACACTCACAACTTAGGACAATTTTAGAGACACCAATTCACCTAGCCTGCATGTCTTTTGGATGGTGGGAGGAAGCCGGAGCACCCGGAGAGAATCCACGCAGACACGGGGAGAACATGCAAACTCCACACAGAAAGGCCGGGGCAGCCCGCGACCTTGCTAACCATTGCATCACTGCGCCGCCCATTACTGCATTATATTCCATTTTGTTGTTATATTTTGAATTGTCACCTGGCACCTGAATTTTGTGCTGCCATTCTTAGAAATAAAGACATTTACCCCATAAATTATTGCAGAAAATGTCTCGAGAATGCAGGAAATTAAGAGTTTAATGCTCAAAAGCCCCACTCATATATTTCATTAAGGAATATTTATTCAAATTACTGTTAAAATATCTTCTCGTCTTGTTCTCGTGACCACAGTCTTTCATCACGCCTGTATTCTCAGACCTTATGTCACCACTTCTTTTCAAGACAAAGTGACGCTTGCTGTTACATACAGTAGGCCTACTGCTTATATTGTTTCACCATCTGTACACATATGTAGCCTAAGTAGTGAATGTGTATCCGTGGGGATGCGTGGTAAGGTGAGCTGACGTGCTACAGTGCCAGGGCCGAATTTTTGTCCCAGTCCCCCACGCCGCGTGGCGATAGCGCAGAGGATAAGACACATGCCTTCTGACAAATAAAACAATTATAAGTCACTTTGGGGGGGAAAAGTGTCAGTTAAATGTAATGTAATGTAATGCATTGGTCAAAACTGAGGTCAGTGTCAAAACTCGTCACGCAGTCAGCGTAACAGAAGTGTATGTGGAGTAAACTGAATAATGTTTTCAAACTGCAAAGTGGAAAGCAGGTGATGTGCTTGTAATTTAGGTTCAGGGGGTTGGTACATGACTGACAGGTTGTGGTCGATGTGTTACCATTTACAATTGAGAAAAATTGTATTGCAGCACTGAAACTTTAGGAATTTGCTTTTTGTTTCAATTTATTATTTTTCACAAATAAATTACAGGAAGTGATATAGACAAGGATATTGTAGCCGTTCGTGTAGGAGCCATTATACTAAATCTGTTTTGTCCCCCTCACTTTTCTTATGAGTTGGCTCATAGCCGTGGCTTTTTACTAGTCAATCAATCACACACTCCACACCAGACATAAATAAACGGCTGAAACGCCCCGATAGAAAACGTGCGACACACCGCAAAGGTGGTGCTGAAAAGTTAAGGGAGAGAAGTTCTCTGGCTGGAGGAAGTTCCTCATTACAGACTTTTCTTTTGTGCTGTAAAATAAGTATTGGCACCTTTCACGTTCCTTTTTTAAAACTGTACTTTTGCTCTTCACTCTAGTATTTTCTTAGGGCCAGTAATCTACTACCTTCTTAACGTCACCAGTCTGTTATCTGCATTTTATTTCATTAACCGTAAAGAGCTGTCACCCAGACTGTGCCGGGCAGTAGCGCCGTAACTACTTTAACTACATTTGTCAGTAGTAGTTTCTCTATCTTAGTGGTAGCGTTGCTATTTTCTGAATCAAATAGCTTTCCTGTAACGAGGCTTTTTTTTATTGGTCGAGTAGCGCGGTAGCTTCCACACACGTTGCATTTTCCCATGCATTTCTGAAGTATCAGTAAGTGACGCCACCGCCACGCACGGACCTGTATGTGTAGGTGTAGCCGGCAGAAGCGCTTCCACGTACGGATCCTTGGGCTGCTAAAGACGGAGGAAACTTTGATATGTAGTGGCAGGCCCGGGTGAAAAAGAAATATACTTAAGTAGGCCTAGCACTTTTTTTTGGATGCACTTATCATATTTTAATTGTACTATACTAAGTGTATATTAAGTGTGTTACTTTTGAACAACTTAAAGTATGTTTAGTGTAATTTTAGAAATACTTAAAGTCAACTTTAAGATAATTGCAATATATTTGAATATACTTAGTTGTGTTAAAATGGACCTATTTTAAGTACCTTTACTGTAATTTAAATACTTCTTTAAATGAATTTAAAATACCCTTTTGTGCTATACTTGAAGAACAGTTTAAATATATTTTAAATGTGTTCCCTGAACATTATTATTAGCATTTCAGCATATTAGTAATTTATTACTAGTATACTCCAAGAGCCACTATTAATATCTTGGGAAGCTGCTTTATGAAACCATTCAGTATGAGAATAATTCATTATTAATGCATTAAAAATATCTTGCAAAATGCTCTTTTTAATAAACATCAGTTTAAAAAAGTATTTTACAACACACACACATACAGACAACTAAAAAACTTTTAATTTTGTGTACATTACAAAAATGAATTCCCGTACATTAAAAGGTACAGCAGCATGTAACACATCTTGAGCAAAATAAATAATCAAATAAAATGTAATCAGTAAAATGATGACATATGACCAGTATTACTGAAAATTACACTATACACATCCCATCATTAATGTTACCCATGGGGGTCCCTCATGCAGTTTGGACACTGGGCACGCCTCAGATGACCTCACGGCAAACCGTGCCACTTCTGACACCATATGCATCACCCTGCCCAGATTTATGCTTAGCTGAGGTGAAAAGTTGGTGTATCAATATGAAAACAAACTTACTGAATAAATCATGATATACTGTATATCAAATGTGACTTAAATGTCCACTGAAGCTTAAGCTCCTCTAAGAATAATAAAAATAGTGGCAAATGAAAACATCCCATCCGTGTGGAGCAATGAGGAGGCTGTAACATTCCTACATGAAACAAACAAGAAATCTCATAATTCCAACATGTTTTCCACAAGGTTCTCCATCGTTTGAACTTTGACTGCCCTTTATTGGACATCATCTCATTGTGTCCTCTTCTTATGCAATGGTTTAATAGCGCTGACGTCACCAACTGTTTATCTCAAAGCGCTTCACTTCTAATATTCATATGTAGTGGATAGATGGAGGAATTTTGTGATGCATCTGGATGGAAACCTGGCTTATTTCCAGGATTGCAATTTTTATTTCAGGTGAATATTCCACAAAATCCATCGTGCAGCTTTAAATGTTCACACCAGGACTTTGGGGGAAAGCCTTTCTCCATCCATTTGCAAGAGCAATTTTTGAATGAATTCATAGGAGTATTTCAGCTCTTTGGGGTAAGCCATGTTCAGTACATAGATGACTCCCAGCATCATTGCACAATACTTGGTCTACAGATCTAATGTTGTCCAGAATGATTCCTCCTTCAACATAAATGTCAATGTCACCATGAGCTGCAACTTCTCCACCCTCCTTGTTGATGACATATATGTGGATTTCTGCAGGTCTCTCTGGATGTCATCTTTGATGTCCTGTATATTTATAGAATATAGGTGACAAAAAGAAAACATGTATTCATGTAATGGATTTTAATGACTTGAAAACTATAAATTTCTTTTTATTTACACTGGTCAGTTAAAAGTACTGAAAATATTTTTGTCAATTAAGGTTCATGTGAATTAACATATCACAGATTTGTGTTTTTATTACATTGTGGAAAATATCCCAACTTTTCTGGAAATGGGTTTTTTATATATTTGTGAGGTGTTAAAGATTTATGTCTTCAGTAGTGAACAATGGGCTTGGAGCAGGGACACAGAAGTCAAAATGGACTCACAGATGGTTTTGGTGTTTTAATTGAACAATAAGAAAAATAATGCCTAATCATTTCAAGGACCAAACTGTTGGTTTAAAATGTTTTAGCCTATATGAAAGACACAGACAAAGCCAAATTTACATTATTCTATGTTGTTTTACACTTCAGGATTTACTTACTCAAAACAAAGTTTGTCAGAGTCTGTTAATAATTATTGGGTGTCTTGAATGCACCAGGATGTGTTTAGAAAATGGTACCTGCTTTGCATTATTAAATTGTTGATTTATATACAAATATTCTCAACCTTATGGCTACTTAGAAGATAAAAATAAACTTTTTAAAATAATGCTTTGGAAAATGGTCAGCGTTAGTGTTAATGCATTTGTCATCAATGGGCTAAAACATAAAACACTTGTATGATCCTTACGGTCCTCTGTAGTGACATGCTTTAGTGGCCAGAGCATTTTTCAAGTTTTGCAGTAGTTGATTTTAATAAACAGCAGGCTTCCACACTATAATAACTCTAGACCCCAAAACACGACAGCATGTAGACATTGATAGGACTCAGGGCTCGACAGTAACGGTGGCCCGATGGCCCAGGGCCAGTAAAAAGTAACAACGGGACTGTTGAACTAGCAACTCACTGGCCCAATCAAAAACATTAGTATCAAAAAAACGAAAACAAAAAGATCACATTAGCAACTCAACATCTCAGTCGCGAGTTTCAAGTCTTCTTCAACACAGCATGATGTTCATTTAGTAAATTATGGTCCTGTTTAGGGGGAAATAGACGATAATGCAGTGTATGCTTTAGGGCAGGACTACCAAGCTTCTATAGATTATTTCAACGATTCATCGATGCCTCGTTTAAGAAGTAACCCCCCTGTAACGGGATCAGCTGTGCACGTTTATAGGTGATAGATATTTATTAGTCCTTTCGGAAATTCATAGTGTGTCATACAGCAAACCAGACAGCTGCTTTACAAACACACAGTTTCCACACCACTTTTATCAAGAAAACACACATGAAATGTGAAATAGCGATCCTGCACACGAAACAGCTGTTGTTTGTTATTATAAAGACAAAGAATCTGGGTGAAAGGATGGATTAGCACACGCAGGTAGCAGGGATCGTCGGAGCCACAGAGAGAGGGAGGGGAGTTAAAAGGTGCAGCTCCCTGACACCCAATTAACTCCTGACTGTGAGGTTACAACTCACGGCCCAAAAACGAGAACAACAAACGCACGTGTGCACATTTTCAGCTGAGGACTGCGGCTTACTTTGGCTTCAACTCAACAATCAATCATGATTTCAGTTAAATGCTAAAGTTGCTTTTACTGTTACTTTGTCTGTGGTCGGCTGGCAGAACACCGGCTGCTTTCTGATAAGGCACCGTCGTGCTGTTGCCGAGGCGACAAAAGTGTTGTTTTACGGTGGACGGACGGTAACATTACAGAGTTGTTGTTTTCTTTAGCTTGAAATAATACCACACTTTGGACACTTTGTCCCTAGCTGTTTTCTCTCTCTTCCTCCACTTTGCAAACAGCTCCATCATATTCACGTCGTGTTCACAGCGTAAGCGCGATGTGTGACAGTAAGAAATGTCCCTGCGGAACACTGTGCTGTATAGTTACATGGATTAAACAAAGCATCGATGCAAGCATTTTATGAATCGATTTTATCGATGAATCGTTTCAGCCCTAAAAGAGTTTTGTTAAATGCACTTACCAAAACAATATGAGTTCCCCAAAGAGTTAGGTTCTGGTCCACATCACACCAAGTTAAGATATATCAGACATGAGAAAGACCTGCAATAGAAATAAAAATGAGCAGGAATAAAAAAGAAAGTGTGATATTTATCTTATTCGATTATAAATTACTTTAGAGCAGTTAGAAATTACATCAGAAATTAATGCTTTCAAGGCTTTAGATGCTACAAGCAGACAGAGACGACATTTTATGAAACGAGAGGGGTGGATTGAAGTTTATGGAAATTGTGTGAATTAGGTACATAACAGATTTGGTTTCTTAAATTATCTGCCATTATTTGTACAACAATAAACCCCTGTGGTTATTTACACTTTGTCAGATCATATTGTAAACGATTTTTTATAAACTTTTTGAAATCAGAAACAGAAAAATCTCTTCATAATGCCGTCCACAAGCCCACAACATCAACTACAAGTACATTGTGCGACACTATAACTGAGTCAACAAGTCAAGACCCCTTGCTGCTCTTAGTTTTGTAATACAATTTTCTGTCTTCATGCCATATCACTAACTCTATTAGTATTTGTATTTTTCATGTTCGACTTCTATACCTAAAGTATTAGTTTAAAATTGGGAGCAATAAATGCAGTGCAAAAATAATCAGTCTTTGTGTTTAGAGCAGAAACAACTTTAACCTGCTAGCTAAACCCACATTCTTATCCCTGTTGTCATCTGCCTACCACTTCAGGTTAACTGGCCTTTCACGGGACTATCGGATGTGGTCGTGCTCTGCTAGTCATCTTCTGTCATCTGCAAAGCTCCTGCTAGTTAGTTATGAAGCATTTGCATGCTTCTACATACTTTCAGCCCCACCTTTACGTTTTAAGATTTGTTAAGGCGAGTCAGAAACCGTTCATGCCGTCAGTTCACATTAACACAAACTGATAGCATTAGTTAAACACATTTTTTCTATCAAATGTTTTAAAGTGTAAACATAACCATGTTTAAGTAACAAATACAACACACCAGTGTTGTCATTTCACATTAACACAGCATTCAATTTGTGAAGTACAAAAGTAGCCAATTACTTAATTTATAACAATAATTTTAATATAATTATTTTTTCACAAGAATATTTGGTTATTTAGTCTGACCCCGTTGACATGTAGTGTGAGCAAAAACAGTGATTGTGTGCAGGAGCCAGACATACCTATGAGCACATTGAGCTTGTGAGGGTCCATCTGGTCCTTTGAGGTTTTCCTGGCCTCTAAGCCATCTGAGTGAGGCAACGATCTCAGGAAGCTCTAAAAGAAAAGAAATGCAGTTGCAAATGAGTTTAAATATTCAGTTAGGCCAGTACTTTCACCTAGTTTTGTTCTTCATTATAAACACTGTAATTCTATTCTTATAGCAAATCTTTATTATTATTCTTTATTTCATTTTCTTGAGCTAAGGCAGGAAATTCCAACTCTGGGTTTAGCATTAGGTTGTTTAAAGTTGACAAAGGGTGGTTCAACTTTTAAAAGTTGAATACTGGATCTATGACCATAAAAATGGACATAAAGTTATAGTGTGTTGTCAGCTATTGCAGGACATAAAACATTATAATTATATAATAAAACAATTCTCACATACCCATGTACACTTTTACATTGCTGTTATAACTGAGTTATTGGTCACTGTAATGGTTAACGTTACCCCCTCCATGGTTGCAGTGAAGAGAAATCTCTAAAAAAAACAGTGTACTTTTAGAATGAATTTATACAAAAATGACAACTGTGTGATATCTTTACTGACATTATGGGCAGAAATAATAATGATTACAGTGACCAATAACTTCCTGTAAACATGGACATGTGAGTATTAAGGTAGACTATAAAAATGTGAACCTTTTTATATACAATTATATAACAGGGTCTTCATTTCTGACATGTTGTGTGTAAGCATTTGTAAATAACACAACAAACATCCATAGTTTTGGTATTGGGTAAGATTGTACCTTAAGAAAAACTTTGCATTTCAGAAATTAGTTAATTGACAGCATATTCTGTGTAAACAACATGAATTGTGTTAATGGTATGAATAAACCGATGTGGGGCTAACTGTTTAGAGTTTTGAAAATGTGACTATAGATTGGACAAAAGGATGTTAGCGGTTGTAAAAAATAAAATGTAACTAGCAGCTGTTCCATGGTTTTTATGGAAGGAAGTCAGTTATATTATACTCCGTCTCTCTGACTCTGCGCCCAATCTCCCATCTCCAGTCTATTCTCCATCTTCTGTCGCTGCAAATAGTCTCTTTCAGCCACACTAATAAGTACATTCTGTTTTCAAAAAGTCAATAGAAGTGAGCATTTAAGCAGTTTGCATCAAAATAGGAGGCTATTCTGACATCCTGCAAAGAGATTCAAGCAGAAACTCTCCATAAACTCACAAGTTCAATGGATGCAAGAATTGTGAAGGTGATATCAAAGAAGGGATCCTATGTTAACATGTAACTTGCCCTGTTAAGATGTGCTTGATTTAAATCACTTTTGATTTCAGTAAATTTGATCTCCTTATGCTGAAAATTCAACAAATGACCATTTTCAGTAACTTTTTAAAAAATTTTTAACTCCACTTGAAATTTCATTTTTATTTGATCTGTTGTCTTAGAAATAATGGCCTCTCAAATAGCAATGGTGTTGCTATCACTGGACAGTGAAGAAGTCGGCTCACTCAAAGAGGGAGTCAATTTAAAGAAAAACCCAGAGGACGGTAAATGCTACATCATATACAAGAGCAACACTGGCCTTAAAGCGTGCAAGAACCAATGCAAACACCAAGGAGGGTTATTCATCAAAGACATCGAAGATCTGGATGGCAGGTGAGCATTCTCACAGCTTACATCCGGTATCATGATGTGTCAGTCAAACCTTTAATTACAGACAGGTTGCTGTTTTCACAGGACTGTTAAATGCACTAAACACAACTGGAAGTTAAATGTGTCCACAATGAAATATGTGAATCCACCAGACAGCTTTCTGCAGGATGAGCTAGGTAAGTTCTGCCATGTGTTTAGATGTAAGTATTTTAAAGTGCAGGGGAAAAAAGACAATTTAAAGGGGCCCTCCACCATTTTAATGTCATTTCGTCATGGTCTTGGAGACTACTATAGGTTTCAGGAAACTCAGGATGTCTTAAACAGGATTGTTTATTGAAGCCTGGCAGGGGAGACAACAGCAATACAGTGTGAACACAGTGTAGTCCCAAACCAAATCAAAACAGTGTCTCTTGGTCCACAATATTTATCACTTTGCTATGCCATTAGAGTCTAAGAAGTATCCCATACAGGGTCATTCTTTACTGGCCTAAATATGTGTTCTCTGCTGGAAACTATTATATATTTATACTATTTGTATCATGGTCCAGCAGTTTCTCCAGGAAATGAAATTAGGCTAATCTATGTGTTTTTCTACTATTAGTTTTTTTAATCATTCATTGTCATTGTATTTGGATAAATCTACATAAATACTTTGAAATATATCCAGTCTCAGTGACGAAAATGGCATTTTATGCATTGCATAAAGAGGTAGTCATAAAGAGATTTTACTGCACAGTTGGACCACACCTCTTCAATGGCTGTGCGCACATAGATTAGCCTAATCTCATTTCCTGGAAAACTCTGGGCCATGATTTAACGACAGTTTCCAGCAGAGAACACAGTGACACAAAAGCCAATCTAGAGCTAGAGCTAGAGCTCTTGTTAGAAACATTAGAAAGATTTGCAGTGTTTCTCTAAATTTTATCAGAACAGTCTGGGGCCTGCATTATAAGGTCCACTGTCTTCTGGGATTGCAGGAGCTGGCAGGTTTCCACACGTGGGAGAACTTAAACATATACTGACCAAATCATCACTACTTAAACCATTTGTCTGCCCTCCTATTGTGTGTCTATTGTGCCGCTGGCTATGTGGAGCCAACAGGGAACATAAATAGACTTTGAGTACTACTTTGCATGGAGCTGCAACTGCAACACTGTGTCCCCAAACAAACCCATCCCTCAGTGCCACAAGTTCTCTGCCTCAGTCTACACTTCTAGACTTGATAGCTCATCAGCTCTGAGGAGCGTTTTAGTATCCTTTTTTTTTCTCATGAGTCATTTCCAGCAGCAGCAGACAAACTTTGATAATCCGACTTTGCTCAGCACCAAACAGCAGACAGCTGGTGAACATAGTGGAACATTAAGCAGCTAAAGAGATATATTTCTCAGGAGTTGGAGGAAAACAAAACAGAGCAAAAAGGAGAGTGAATATTGGACATGATGAATACTGTAACTGTATAAAATACAGTCCGAACAGTCACCACAATGGTAAGAGTAGGGACAGAGTACAAGTCAAAACTCTAAACAAATCTATACTGCATGGTTCTGAAACATTTCCCTTCTTGCTTGGGAAGTACCTTCATTATGTATTCATTGACAGGAGGGTCATGGAAGTTCCTGGACACCAAAGATGTCTGCAAACACTCACATCCTATTCCGTATTTATCTGTGTAAATGCATTTTATTATATATGTGACAGATGGAGTTGGTGTAGAAGGGAAAGAGTTGCATGCGTTCACTGGTATTGCTTCACTAGTGAAAAAAACCCTGTTCTGTAGTATCAGTCAACTGGAAAGGAGCTGGGTTTTTTTATAGATAACACGATGAGGTAATCTGGTGTTCCATTTTGAGTTACTGTTCAAAATGAAATCCCTCTTATTATAAATGTAAGTATTTTCTTGAAAGTTAAAGGAGTGTGCAATCTTGATTAATTCTGTAATGACTATGTAAAGTTCAACGTGGAGCTGTGAGTCTAAATAAAATGGACTTGTTATTTTATCTTTTATAAATATCAGAACACTGTAACCCATATGTAACCCATATCTGCAAATGAGCATTTATGTTATGTCACGCACAGAAGTAGAGATCTTGGATGATGGGGGGCTTCAGTTGGTCGAGTTGAGCCCCATGGACCCCTGGCTCGCTGACCCTCGAGAGCCTCTGGAGCTCCAGGAAGGAGAAGTGAAAGTATGTATCCAGCTGTTCTCACAGTCTAATTTTTTACACCATATTGCACATTAATGCTATGTAAAAAGATGAAATATTGACATTTTTGACACAATTTAGTCTCACATTCAAGGTCTGCAGCAGAAAAGCTTAACAACCATTAAAAATTGCATTTATATGTATGTGTTGTAACACTCTTGTAAGCACAATGAAATTGTTGATAGGTAGATTTATTTTGTCACAACACAACAGGTGAAATTTCATTTGTAACTCCTGCTACATAGCAGATATTATACATTAATATAAAAGCAATTATAAAAATGGTAAACAGAAATAAACTATTTTCAGTGGAGCAGTGTAAATGCCTCACCCATGGATGTGCAGAGCCCTCTGGTCCTGGGCCGTGCACATCCCATGCCAGTTTGTGATGTTTCCAGTCAGGAGGCTTTCTATTGCTCCTCTGTAAAAGCTGACAAGAACTTGGCGTGGGAATTTGGCCGTCTTAAGCTTCCTCAAGAAATACAGGCGTTTCTGAGCTTTCTTCACCAGCGTGGAGATGTGAGACGACCATGTCAGCTTCTCTGTGAGGCTGATTCCCAGGAACCTGAAACTGTTCACCTGCTCCAGCTCAGTACCACTGATGTAGACAGGAGTGTCTGTCTTTATCTCCTTCCTGAAATCAACGATCAGCTCCTTGGTGTTGCTGACGTTGAACAGTAGGTTGTTCTGAGCACCACTCTGCAAGATTATGAAATTTCCTCCCGACATCATCGTTGTTTGAAATTCGTCCGATGATGGTGGTGCCATCCGCAAACTTCACAACAGAGTTCTCTCCATATGGGGATGCAGTCGTGGATGTAGAGCTGAACAGGAGGGGGCAGAGCACACAGCCCTGGGGGGCTCCGGTGTTAGAGTACTAGAGTGGAAGAGGTGCAGAGTGTTGAGTTTGCTGATCAGTTTCATGGGGAGATTGTGTTGAATGCTGAGCTGAAATCCACAAACAGCTTTCTGATGTCTTGAAGCAGGTGGGAACCCTCTCCTGAGACAGTGAGATGTTGAAAATGTCAGTAATAACATCAACTAGCTGATTGGCACAGGTTTTTAATACACCGCCAGGGACGTTATCAGGCCCAGCTGATTTACTCATATTCACTCTCAGCAGGACTCCTCACATCTGCTGTGGATGCTGACAGTGGCTGGTCCTCTGGAGGTGGAGTAGACTTTACAGCTGACTCCATGTTGAGGAGATCAGAGCGAGCATAAAAGGTGTTAAGTTCATCTGGTAATGTGGCCTCACACATGATGGGGGAGCTCCTGCTTTTGTAGCCTGGGATGTTTTTGATGGCCTGCCACATATCTTTGGTGTTGTTGGAGTTGAGGTCTCTCTCCAGTCTCTGCTGATGTCTCCGCTTTGCCTCCTTGATGCCCTTTGCTCTCCTTTTTTGGCTCTGGATAGGTCCCTCACCTCTCCATTCATCCAGGCCTTCTGATTGGGGAATGATTTTATCGTCTTAGTGGTCACCACATCATCAACACGTTTACTGATGTATGATGATATTGATGATGTATATTCCTCAAGGTTGATGTGGCTCTCCTGGGTGGCAGCCTCTCTGAACACACTCCAATCAGTGCTCCCAAAACAGTCCTGCAGAGCTGCTGGAGCCTTATCTGTCCACACTTTGACTGTTTTTGTTTGTTGGCTTGACCCTTTAAATCAGTTGGTTGTAAGTGGGCCGAAGAAGCAGAGAAATATAGTCTGATGAACCAAAATGGGGACGGGGGAGGGCTTTGTTGGCGCCAGGAACATTCATGTAGACGTGGTCCAACGTGATTGTTCTTCTGATAGGGATGTGGATATGCTGGTGGAATTTAGGTAAGAGAGATTTGTTTGATTAGAATCACCAGCAACAATAAAAACACCATCAGGTTGTTTTGTCATGTGACTGCTGATGACCTGATACAGTTCCTGTAGTGCATTTTTTGAATTTGCATCTGGAGGAATGTAAACAGCAAGGACAAAAACACTTGAGAATTCAGCCTCTCGGTAAAGATAGGGGAACAGCAGTCTCTCTGCTGATTGAGCCAGTCCCCAGATTTTACATGACTATGCGTCCACACAGTAGCCACCTCTATTTACAGTTTTGTCATATTATCATTTCCAGATCTGTCTGCGGTGACAAAACAGAATTATCAAGGTAATAATGTGACATCTGCCACATGTAAAGTTGTGAACTTCCCTCCCAGGTGACGTACTTCACCCACGCCTGCATGGAGCTGCAGCTCGGACAGAGGCGGTTCATGTTCGACCCTTGGTTGAAGGGTCCTGCATTTGCCAGAGGCTGGTGGCTCCTCCATGAGCCTCCAGCAGACTCCCTGGACAGACTGTGTTCAGCGGATCTCATCTACATCAGCCACATGCACTCTGACCACCTCAGGTAAACTCTGGCAATGTTGTTAAATCAATAACCTCAAAAACTATGTCATGTGGTGTCACTAACACTTGTCCTGAAAAGCTGACACACAAGTGCGTCACTTTGTGTTGAAAACATTCATGACTTGCTAACCCTCCCATTTTACATTGCACTCCCCCTGCTTCATAGCAGCTCACAGCAGGTTAATGTCACGGTAGTTGGGTGTTGGAAGCTGCTGACAGACGTAACTGTAGATTTATTTGGCAGTTCTAGTGAACAGTCCACATTTGTCTCTAGTTCATCACTTCTAAATATTCTCTAAAATCACGTAATGTTACAGCCACAAAGTTAATGCTGTGTTTATCAGTGGAGGAGCGCTAACGTTGATGAGTCGTTAAACTATAGACGGTATGCGCATGATGTCACAGAATACATTTACGCTCACTGAGTGGCAGAAAGATGAGCAGCAGTGTTAGCTTAAATCAGTTAAAACACAAACAACACATCTAAAATGGGAAAGAGCTGGACCACTGTTTTTTTGGAAAGTAGTTAGGATCACTGTCGAGTCCGACTGCCTTTAATTTGAGCAAATAATCACTTGTTTTCCTCCCAGTCTGCTGAACACAGCCATGGTAACAGATGTTTTGCCACTCAGTCCAGCCTGTTCCGGAAGGGGGAGTGATATCAATGCACCTATAGTTTCTGGTGTATTCTAAATATATCTGTGAGCTGCCTGTAAATGCTCCGTATTTGTATAGCGCCTTTCTAGTCTTTTCGACCACTCAAAGCTACATCTACAATCACCAGTCATATACTGGCGAAAGGAGCAATTCGGGGTTCAGTATCTTGCCCAAGTAGGCAACCTGGAGGAGCCACCCTTCCGATTCTCTGCCATTTTATTAACATAATCCATTTAGGTAAAGGTTTTATAGCCCACATACAGTACATACCAGCTTTCAATATCGGCCTGTTCTAAGTGTAGTTATTATAGTAAAGGGGTCTACTATCCAAATCATTCTCAAAATCTAAAAATAGGCTTTTTTTCTCACTTTAATATTGGCATCGGCATTGGCCCCCAAAAACCCATATCCGTCGGGCTCTAATGCGATATATTGGTTTCACGAGAACAAGATGAAAAGATCCTTAAACAATGTTTTAATATATTCAATGCCTAGATAAATGAGGGCAGGTCCGGGGGTACCTCCCCCAGGAAATTTTGATCATTAAACACTTCATTTCATGCATTCTGATGAAAGTTTCTGCACCAGTTTATGGTGTAAATGTTTTATATAAAAGGAAACACAAAATTCAGGTAGCATGTGACATTTTAATACATATAAATAGAACAGAATCCAAGTCAGTGCAGCTCTCGGTCATTCTGTGATGCCTTTAGATCGGTTTCCCCTGTAGATCAGCTTTTCTCATGTAATATCATACATGTTGAGGTAGTACATATGTAGACATGATTTAGTCTTCCCTCCTCTTTTGTCATGTTCATAGGGAGAGAACAGAAAACTTGGCCAAAAGAAGCTGTGTCTGGAAGTTAGTAAAGTTACTGATTGGTGCTGCACGTTTTTTGTCATTTTATAATCAGTAGCTTGTTTTTTTTAGCTTAACATTTATTTCTTCTACATTTTAATTGCATTGCATGTTTTCTTAGTATGCAAATACACCTTTCTAAAGGCATTTTCATTAGTTATTTAACAGCAAGCTATATTTCAGAACCTTTGTTGTTTTTTTTAACAAATTATGCTTTAAAAAGTGGTAGGGACATGTCCCCAGTGTAAATGATACCTATGCTGACACCTGACTAACATTCATGCCTGCAGAGTGAGCAACCTCATAGTTTACTGAAGTAAACCAAGACAACACCGTAAATATGTTAACACAAGCAGCAACAACAGAACTTGGATTCCTGGCAATGCCCTTTTAGACATGCACCATGTTGTGCAAATATGATGCAGATCTGACAAAGCATAAATTCAGATGTTTAACATATCAGCATTATGTTGTAGTTTTTTCGGCATCATTTTGATCTCTTTATTGCAGTTCAATCACAGCAAAATGTTTATTTTATTTAGTAAACCAGGTTGTGTGTAACCGCGTAAACTCGCGTTTACTTTCTTTGTATGTGAACACCAGGTATTCCAGAGATCATACTCACTCGAAATTAAATTTGCATTTGGTCTGAATGCACAATAAGTCTCATGTCTGAATAAGTGCTTGAGTTACTGTAACATTAAAGTCACAACTGTGATCACTACAAGAGACCTAATAACATTTCTGTAAAAACTTCACACGGCACAAGTCTGAATTGAATGTCATCAGAATAATGTAAAGGCCACAGCAGCAAAAGAACTCTCAGTATGTTCAGCACTTAATCATAATCTTTGCACAAAGCAAATTAAATCAATAAACAGGTAATGAACCAATTTTGAATTGCTTATGGTTGTCATCTTATGTCAGATCAGTGTATGAAAACCCTTGCAGTGCAGGAAAAAACAGGTAAAAAGAAAACCCTCCTAGAATCCAACCACCGCATCTTTCACCTGAGAGAACCTGCCGAAGCCTCTCTCCACTGCTTGTTTGGGAGGGTGTAAGCGCCATTTATTAGTAGCAAGTTTGTTTATGTTGTAACATTTATTACTCTTTCATTCTTGTGTTTATTTTGGTATTTCGGTGCAACTTATGTATTGGAACTCTTATTTTGAAGTTTTGAAGGAAGCTGTAAAAAAAAAAAAAAAAATGAGTGTGGACGGCAGACTAACAAGGTTGTTTTACCGTCGTTTGTTCTCTCCGGGCCAACTCAACGCGTAAAACTGTCTTACGTCGTTCATACAATGTGGTTATGATGACAGAAGTAAGTTTAGTTGAAGTTTATAATTACAAACAATTAAGATAGCCACTACATTAAGTAAAACAACCTGCGCAACAGCAAGATGACGACGACGGCGATGACAACGCGTCGCAAGAGCCACCACCGACTTCCCAAGAACAGAACAGACCAGGACAAGAGTAAAGCTTCAGATAAGTGCCCAAAGAACTGCAGGAAAGAAGTTAAAAGGAAACATGAGGACAAGAGTTTTGAAACAGTAAAGAATGCTGTTATGCCGCAGAAACGTGCCAAAATGAGGGTGCTGCCCAACTTCTTGTGAGAATAAGACGACTAGAATGTTTTGGTTGTCAGAAGATGATATTCATTATGAAAGCCTGGTGAGCTTTATGTCATAGACCATCATTTGTGAACATTTGTCGAACTAGAAGTCGTGCCATAATGGCGGACGATTCACACGACGCAAAGTCAAGAGCTCAGAGCTGCTGCAGCCGGAGTAGCCAAAAGAAGGCGCCAAAGTACACCGAAAAGGGTCTGGAAGAACAAGTTTGCAGGCTTATAGGTGCAAGATTACCCAAGTTGTCACAGTTAACATAAAAAAGGAGCAAGATTGAAAGACTAATGAAAGATAATGAAAATCCCGACATTGTTGATGAACATTTAAATGAATCCTCAAAACTGCTAGAAGAGTTTGCTCATTCAAATGATGATGTACTGTTGCTGTAACCTGATGATGAACACGATGCTGATCAGATGTATTGGTTCAAGCCAAAAATGGAACACTTCAGCAGTTTCATAACTGATGGTAAAACATGGATAGCTACATCAAGGCGACAACATCAGGAGGATGACAGCGTGTCTGTAGCTGCCACACCAGCGGAGAGGAAGTCTGCAGTAAAAAGCACAACGAGCTCAGCTAGTTGCCGCTGTTCAAGATCATCCAAAGTCTCCATATCATCGGTGCGACAGAAGGAACAAGCAGAACGTGCTGCCTTACTTGCACGTGCAGCATCACTAAAACAGAGGCAGGCGTTAGACATCGAAGAATGCAAATTAAAGGAAAACAAGGAACAACTTGAGATAGCTATTGCTGCTTCTACGTCAAAAATACAAGTGTTGGAAAACAGTGAGTATGACAACTGCAAAGGTGATGTAGGTATTCATCCTGAGACTGTCTTACCAGGAATGCCACAGCTACGTAACCAACAGCCTATGGTAAATTATGAGCACATTGGCCAATTAAAGGCAGATGATCTTCAAGTGAAACATGAAACTGACACACAACAATCTTATGTTAACAGAAGTAATGTTGAAACAAAATGATATCACTGAGATGTTAGTCAAACAGCAAAGACTGTCACATATGCCCCAGAGAGATGTGTCTCTTTTCAGTGGCGATACACTTGAGTTCAAAGCTTTCATAAGAGCATATGATCATACCATTCATGACAAAGCTGATAGTGACAGCGACAGGTTATATTACCTAGAGCAGTTTACCAGAGGGGAACCCAGGGAATCAGAAGTTTCCAGCATATGAGTCCCTATCAAGGTTATAGTGAGGCGAGGAAGTTGCTAACTTCGCAAAATCGCAACTGCCTACAGTATATGAATAGAGCATTCAGATGGCCAAAAATAAAACCAGATGACGGCAAGGCCCTTCAGAGTTACTTTTTGTTCCTCACTGGATGTAACAACGCCATGCAAGAAATTACCCAACTTACAGAAATGGACAGTCCCACTAACCTCAGAAACATTGTCTCCAAGTTACCATACAAAATGAGAGAAAAAATGTGGAGAGTTTCTGCATTTGACATTCAAGAAAAATGTGATACAAGAGCAAAGTTTTCAGATTTGGTCACGTTCATAAACAGACGAGCTAAAATAGCTGTGGATCCTGTTTTCGGTGACATAAAGGATGCTGAAGATAAGGGAAAATATTGCATATATATATATAATATATGCAAATGTGAAAGCGACAAAATCATCCAGGCCAAAGGGGAGTGCATTTGCCACAAGTGTTGCACCTACAGCAATTGAAAGGCCACCAGACAATGGTAGAAACTAATTTCGTTGCAACATTAATGCCTTCCAGAAGCCTTGTGTATATTGTGAAAAACAACACGTACTGGCAGAATGTCACAAAATCAGAAACCAGCCATACAAAGAAAGGTTAGAGTTTCTTAAAGGAAAGGGTTTGTATTTTGCATGCTTGACACAACGACATCTGAGCAAAGACTGTAAGAAAAGAGCTTCATGTGAACAACAAACAGTTCGAACAATCCTGGGTTGGGTCATCAATGGTCCTCTCAGGAGAGACAGTTACAACACTCCATCTGAAAGTATTGTATTGTGTTTCTGTGAATCGCATTTCTATTGCTAGTGTGGAGAACCTGTTGGTACAGCAGTTTAATCATGATTTCCCTGAAAAGGCCAGCGAGGAAAAACAGGAAATGTCAAGAGAAGAGGGTTGATGGTCACCATACCATAGGACTTCCCCTGAAAAACAGATATGTCAAGATGCCTAACAACCGCAGTGTAGTTGTGCAGAGAGCAGAAAACTTGAAAAGAAAACTCAAAAACAAAGACTTTCACAGTGAATATCAAAGCTTCATGTCTGACCTGTGGAGCCAAGGCTATGCTGTTCCGGTACCAGATGAAGAGACCCAGTCTGACAATGAGAGGGTCTGGTATATACCTCATCACAGGGTTTACCACCCCCAAAAAGGAAAGCTCCGTGTAGTTTTTGACTGAGCAGCATCATATCAAGGCAAGTCACTAAACTGAGAGACCAGATTGAACTAACTTACTAATCTGTTTTTAACACGATTCAGGCAAGACCATGTAGCTTTAATGTCAGACATAGAAGCTATGTACCACCAAGTACGTGTACCACCTGAGGATAGTGACCTGCTGCGCTTCCTCTGGTGGCCAGAGGGAAACTTGAAGAAACCTCTGCAAGAATACAAAATGGTGGTCCACTTGTTTGGGGCCACATCCTTCCCCAGCTGTGCAAACTTCGCACTGAGGAAGGCGACTGAAGATGCTAAGGAAAACATGGCTCCTGGAGTCGAAGAATGAGGAAAACATACAAAAGAAGGCCAACGAGGTCTGTCAGGCTGTTCTGCCGGAGAAGAAGAACAGGCTGTTGTCTAGGGACCCCTGGTGTCTAGGGGTGTAGGGGGCCATAAACATATAGGCGTATACATACATACTGGCAGGTAACAAACATAAACAAAAAGAGGGTGGATGAGGGTGCTGTGAAAATAACAAACCAAGTTAATAAAAGAGGTCCTCAAAAGGAGGACTGTGCCTGACTATATATTTAAACAAGGTGGATTCTTACTAAGAAATACAAAGAGCACATGATAGTAAACAAGGTGAAAGCAGTGTCGTTCAGAATAATGCACAGATATTACCCAGCTCATCATTACATGGTTAAATTTAAAAGAGACATCAATACAAACTGTTCTTTTTTGGGAAGACCACCTAGAAACTGTTTTGCACCTCTTTTGGTATTGCACACACACCAGAACATTTTGGCAAAACCTCAGCAGATTCATCAATGACTATATTTATAAAGACTTTGCCTTATTGTGGGAGAATGTAGTATTTTGCTTTAATAGAAGTCAAAGTAAAGAATAGATGCACTTCATTCTAAAAGTATTAATTCTTTTGGCAAAATTTCACATTCATAAATGAAAATAAAAAAATTAAAAAACCTAATTTTGTACTTTTTCTCCATGAAGTTGTAAATTATATAAATCTGATTTCTGGCCCCAACAACAAAAAGGCAGTTTAAACTATCAACATCTGGTTCTCTTTCTCTTTGTAATGGCCTATAAGCTTTCCCTGGCAAAACTGTATTGTATATTATTATGTATATTTTGGTAAGTCACTTGTTATCTATATCCTATTTTTGCAATAAAGATGACTTAAAAAAAAGGACAAAAAAGCCAAAGCGGGAAACATATTTCAGCCAATCATGTGCTTCAGGAAAAACAGGGGCAAAGTTGTCAAACTTTCAGCGATTTTTATCAGATTTTAATGCTGATTCTATTCATGTAGTTTTTATGTCCCGGTGAACAGTGAAAGTGCAGTTCTGGCTCTCTCCCCATTCATTGTGTTGACAAGATAGCTGATGAGTGGCATGACTTGCCTAAAAGGACTTTGTTCTGCACAACGGTGTGGGGCCGTAACCACACGCCAGTCAGTATCTGCAACAAATTCCTCCCTAGCTAAGTATACACGTAAATAGCAAATAGCACTTCATTTTCTGTTTCATGGAAACTTTCTGCTTAAAGTAATCCCTGTATGTAATCCCTGTTTTTACAAGATTTACATATAATTTGATTACGCCTTTCATTTTCTGTACTGTAAACTACAGTTAGCCTACTTTAGGTGTGTGTCACTGCCCTCTGGTATATTTGGTTGTGGTTGCTTGCATGTTCATGTATTTGTTAGGCAGGGCTGAGTGGCAGTGGGCCCACAGTTTCTTTCGCTTTTTTGTTTATGATTTTTCCCACCAACACCTGCACACCATATTTCCCACACATCCACTCATGTACAGCACTGACCTTACTGCCATCCCATCCCTTTTTGCAATTTGTTTATGTTTTTGTGAATAAACCGGTAATTTAAGGGAATTTCGGTGTCCCTCCTTTGTTTGCCTTGGAACTTTGCGTCTGTCATGAAAAATATTGCTTACGTGTGTATTTGTATGTGCATACATCTATTATTGTTCATATGGTGTGCCGAGCTGGTTCACTCAAAACGCAGATGAAAGGGGATCATGGAAAACTGGTTTATCTACATAATTATGCTCTCGCACAGTGTGATAGTCTTATAGTTATAGTCTTATATTTTTAACTTAAAATTCATTTAAATATCAACAGACGGTTTGTAAAAGAATGTCTAATGCCATACACGGAGTCATCTGACCTTTCCTATCTTTTCTAGTTACCCCACACTGAAAGTCTTGTCAGAGAGGAGGCCAGATGTCCCCATTTATGTTGGTGACACAGTGAGACCTGTCTTTTGGTTAGTAAAGTCATGGAGCTCAGTTTAATCCATTACATCTTGTTAATTTGACACATGTTTCACATTTGAAACATGTTTTAAGTTACAATTATTCCATTTTATACATGTCCCTCTTTCTGTCTTGATGCAACAGGTATTTGGAGCAAAGCCGAGTCAAGCTGACCAACATCAACATTGTTCCTTTTGGTGTCTGGCAAGATGTAAGTAACTGCTGCTCACATCTGGTCCTTTTATAATGACATTACAAAATGAAAATCATTTAAAATTTTAAAATATAAATTGCTCTAATGAAATACAAATAATAAAACTCTGTTACAGCAAAAAATAGCAATACTGTAACCATTCACTGATCTCTCCCCTGGCTTCAGATTGACGAACACCTGAGATTCATGATCCTGATGGATGGTGTACATCCTGAAATGGACACCTGCATCATTGTTGAATATAAAGGTTAGTGCTTTTCAGTGATGTTCATATTTTAAATACCAACATACATATGATGGATTGTTTAAAAGTGTTTTTGATCACAGGTCACATGATCCTGAACACTGTGGACTGCACCAGACCAAACGGGGGCAAGCTGCCTCTGAATGTGGACTTAATGTTGAGTGACTTTGCTGGGGGTGCATCTGGATTCCCCATGACCTTTTATGGAGGGAAATACAGTGGTGAGGCTCATCTAAGTGTTTGGGAATTTGTCCTGCCCCGGTGTCCCGGGCAGTGCCCCTGTTTTGCTCACTGTCAGGGGGGCTGCTGACTCTATTTCTTTTTATTGCTATTGTTATCATAGGGTTTTTTTGTTTAGCTTTTTTTTCCACTTGTAACTCCCCACCAGCCTCTTTGCCTCTCTCTATTATGTATCCAATAGGCATCCCTCTTCCTTGACAATATGGGACGCATGTACATACACACACATATACAAGCACATACACACGCACATGTACCTACACACGCAAGATTAAGTAATTTTGTTGCTGCTGTTGATATTGTTGTCATGTACCTGTTTCTTTTGTCTTTTCTCTCTTCTTGTTCCCTTTGTATCGTCATGTCTATGTTGTGTATTTTGTCTTGCAATAAAAATAAATAAATAGATAAGTGGTTGGGAATTTCACATCACTGCACACCACAGTGTAGATAAGTTGGAATATTTTTGACACATCGTGAGTTTGACAGTTTAGTCTATCAAATTTGGTGTATACCACAGCGCTGACATAAAGATGATGGTGTTTGTCTGTACGCAGATTCCTGGAAGGCAGAGTTTGTCAAGAAGAAAGGAAGAAGCTGCTGAATTACAAAGCTCAGCTGGTGAAGTCCCTGAAGCCGAGGATCTACTGCCCATTCGCTGGCTATTTTGTGGAGGCTCATCCATCAGACAGGTAAAGTTTGTACAGAGGGATTGACCAGGACCTATACTATATCAATAGATGATAAATAATTAACAGCCGAAGAGAAATGGGTTTGAATAATGTCAGACTTGGTTAATAGTTGATAGGCAGTTTATCTTGGAAAGTAATATAATATGACTAAACAGTAACAGGTACAAAGCTGGCATATTGGTATTCTTGGGTCCATCTAAAAGTTAATGTTTGTATATGTTCCTACTGTGTGTGTGTGTGTGTGTGTGTACACAGATACATTAAGGATACAAATACTAAAAACAGTGCAGAGGACCTCAATGCGCTCATCAATAAGCATGCACCAGACATCAAGACATGGACGCCAAAGCCAGGCGCTGTGCTGGACCTCGGCCTCGCTCTGAGAGACCCCACTACAAGGTTGACAACACCTTTGTGTGTATGCGTGTGTATGTTTTATCCCATGTCATCAACTTGTTGGTGTAACTAAACTGACATGCAGCCTCAGTCTTTTAGCACAATATTTTTTATGTAGGCATTAATTATATATTTAAGACCTTTTTACGTGGTCCTTGTTTCAAAAAAAGTTAGTTGGAGATCATGTTTTCAATCCAGCCCACAGAGTTGGCATTAAGATTAAATGAGAAGCTGCTTTCGTCTACCTCTATCTAAAATCCCTGCATTGCCTCAAAAATTACTAAGATTTTTGAATGGTAAATCTGCCTGTTATCACTGAAAACTGTACCTTTAGAACTGCACACATGAATACCTATAAATTTAATGAAAGTTTAATCTACTATTTGAATATTTCCTTTACTACACTACCAAACATAGTGAAGCCATCACCAATCCCCCAGCCAGTGCAAAAATCTACAAGGACAGCTGGGATTTCGACTTGTATGTGATGAACTGAACAGCGCCATCACCTCTGAGATATTTAAACATCGAAGCTGGATCCAGTTTTATTACACCTGGGCAGGCTTTCAAAACTACAACCTTGTTGTGCGGGTAAATATACTCTACAAGCAAGATCCCCTCTGTTCTTTTCTAACATGTACTGCAGACACTTCTGGCTCTTCCTGTGCATAAATTCTTCTGAGTTCTCTCATTTTCTTTGGTGGCACGATACTTGTTCTGCCTGGCCTGAGGGTCTTCGGTGCAGTAATTGCAACATTCTCAGTTCAATTCAAGCCAGTGATCTTTGTTGTCATCCCCTGTCTCTCCCCTGATTTCCTGTCACACCTCTACTTGCTCTGCTATCAAAAAGAATTATTAAAAAAAACACATATAGTTGGAAGTTTGGGGAAACTATGCAATTCCATTTTTAAGGGCCAGTTTACCCAAATTATAAAAACAAAACACTTTTAGCCTTGCAGATAAGAGCTTTTGAGATTTCACTTACCACACCCAAGACAATGGGAGAGATGCCGACTGGAAAATGTCTCTGGATAATTCACAGACCTCGCTGGGAACATTTTTCAAAAGAACCTTCGACGAGGAAATATTCCCTATGAAAACTGATCATGCAACATTGAGATTTTAAAAGCTAGCACTCTGGTCTGTTTCCTTATCACCTCTTTCCTTTCCTTCCAGCTTTGAGTGCTCCTCCTCAGCTGCTTTTCAGGAACTGGCTGAGCCTCACTTCCTTTCTTTCTATTGCCAACTTGTTCAAATTGGATGTCTGTTTGATGAAATGCAAATGTATATTCAAGGTGATTGAGACAGATGACGACTTTGAACCCCTTACTGATGGCTACGACTACTTGGTGGACTTTATGGATCTGTCATTCCCCAGCAAGAGGCCTGACAGAGAGCACTGCTACGTAGAGGTGAGACATTGTGAAGCACCAGGCAAACTACTCTCAGCAGCATAAACGAGTTAATCCAGTTGGAAATATCTACAACCATGTATTATAAATTACTAAAGGAAAAAGAGAGGTTGGATTATAGTTTTGTCACCTTGTTTGGGCAACCTGTTTTTGGATCTTTGCTTTGTTTGGGCTATATTATCTTTAGATTTACTTAACGTTCACCTTGACAATCTAACTCCTGGAAAGAAAGTGAATAAGAATATTTTCCAAAATGTCTAATTATTCCTTTAAAGCAACATTCTGGAAGATTTGGTGTGATTTGGGGTCCCTACCGTTTCAGAGTGTAGGCCTAATTCACCGCTGTCATCAATAGGACCAGCTGTCCATGTGCAGATTAAATTGCTTACTCAAAAACAACCAAGTTGACAACTTTGCTAACACAAGCCGTGTTTCCATCAATGTTTTTTAATGCGCATTTTGAAGTATCGCATTGGAAAAGGTTGATGGAAACGGCAAAATTCGAGGGGAAAAAATCCTTAATAAAAAGGTTTTGCTTGAGGTGGTTTTTGCCTTTGTTGAAAAACTGTTAATGGGCTAAATGGGAGATGGAAACACTTTTGCCGAATAAGTTCTGATGTAGCGAACTTGTAACTCATGTCTGATCAGCTGTTTCCGCTGTCGCCGTCTTGCCGGCATATCACACGGAGACATGGCTGGTAGCAGTTTGCCCGCTTGAAACACATTCCTGAGGACCTCTCTCCATTTTTCTCGGATCAATGGCCCTCAGTTCCATGGGACTGCTTTTGTTTCTGGTTTGGAACCCATACGTCTTGTTTATTACAGCTATATGTAACGTCAACTACTGACGTAACTACGCATGCAACTACGTTGCCTGGTTTATTCGCTCCAAACCAGCTGATGGAAACGCACCTATTTCGCATGAACTTTTTTCTTTCTTTTTGCGACAGTTCAAAGTCTGCTTAAAATTCGCATGAATTTGGTTACACAGGAATGGCTACAGCCATCAAGCAATTGCAACAACACAAGACATGGCAATATTTAGGGCCCTATGAGTTCCTTAATGCGGAAATTGGAATCAACTATAAAACCCAGAATTTGCCAAAATATGGATGTATATATAGAAAACATGTGTTTCCCTAGAATTACAAGTATTTTTTTCACAGCACTTAAGCAAAACAAACATAAAAACAATACTGCTATGTTTGGGTCTCATATACATGCACGCTGTTCAGGGTTTCCACTATGTATATTTTGCAGTGGTGGGCTGCCACTGCGTCAGAATTTTATGAAGTCACTTTTAGTTTGACACATCAGTGAAGACGTGATTAATAAGAAAACTAATGTTGAAATAAACTGTCCTGGGGCTAAAGACTGTAGTGTATATTATAGCCTGCTCCCTGTTGACTCCTACATACACACACACAAACGCGCAAACACACGGCAGCCAGCTGCAGTGGAGACAGTGAAGGTAAATCCAAATTACTTGGCCTGACGACAGCTACGCTCATTATTATACAAGTATGTGCAATACAACATTCGTTAGTAAAAAGCCAATACTTAGAATACACCTGTTCAACAAGTACAAAAACATAGATTGTGATATTTTAATCTGCTCTGTCCACACTCTGTCATCCTCTGTTTTACCCAAGCACAGCACGCTTGGCAATTACCCGAATGTTACAAGCAAGCTAAGTTGAAAGCTCGCTAACTGTTTAGCTTAGTTTGCCACAGACCTTAAAATCTGGCACATTCTTGTAGTAAACTGCGGGCTGAGACAAACCAGCCGCTCCCCCTTCTACAGGCAGCAACGTTACCTGCAAAGCAGAGAGAAAGGAGGAGGACTGATGTCTGAGTTCATCATTCTTTCTGTCTGTCACTAAGTATTGTGATGTCAGATAGTTTATATAATGACTTAACCGTTGTAGAAAGAACATTTAGTTATATTTAAATGGTTTCTGTATCTTGGGGGATGCAGTTATTTGACAGGCTGTAGGGGGGAACGACATTATGTGGGTGCACGTTATATCATAAAAAACACTGAAGGGCGGATGGGTCAAGTACACAGGTCATGTGACTTCACACCAACATTGAAAACTATATTCATCATTTATATCAAAATCCATAATGCCAGTGTACGTGGACAAAGACACTGGCCATGTGGTAAGTGTTGTTATTTTTAATTTTTTTCATGTTCATTAGCCTACCTGTTGAGATTTTTTCTTACATAATAGTATTTTTTTTTGTGTTGCCTTATTGAGTCCTGCAGCAGTAGGGGTAAACCGGTGCAAAAGTAACAAGGCGATTTTCTCAGAGGCCTGACTGCATTTGCAGTCCAAGCTGTGACAGCACCTTCAGCACACAACCCTTGATGGAGCTGCCAAATATCGCATGATTTCGTCATCGTTTCCCGCAGCTGTCTTCGGAGAACTGTTTGAGCACAGCAAGTAAATTTCTGAAGCGGGACTGTTTTTCGAATTACAAGTTGTGTCTCTCGTTTCATGTGTCACAGTAAGGATTAATCTACAGGTTATATAGTGCTTTAACACACTTTAAAGTTTGCCCTGTCAGAGTTATTCAGTGTAAAAATAAATCGTGTTGATATGTCTGTCTCGCTACACCTGACCAAAAGAAGTGTTTCTTTTGTCCCGCTGCTATGTGGTGACTTTTCTGTGTGTTGCAGCATTTATTAAAACATGTTTATATTATACCAACAGAATATGCCAATAGGGTGGGTCATAAGACAGAGGTCTGATTCTGCCAGATGTTTATGAGGAGGCGTTTCTGGACATCTATATTACAAACATTAGTCTCAGGTCAGCTGATAAAGTCTCATGCCATATGCCATGTGCTTTGTTCCGATAATGCAGGAGGAGGGCAGAGATAATTGTGGAGAAGACTAGACCACAGGTACAGATCACATTATTAAGTCTTCTTCTTGGACTAGGAGAGGAAGCTGCATGCCTATATTGAGAGAGCGGCTGATCTTTATTTTGGCCTGTCTCCTAAGGAGGTCAGTGTAGTAGGTGTCAGTAAAAAGCACTCAAAATGCAATCACTCATACTGTTCTTACTAAAACAAGTTTAAATTAATTTCAAAATGTTCTGTTAATAGCTGTTTAATTTTTATCTTAATTTTATTGTTTTCATTTTTGTCTAAATTACGTTTCATTTTTTCACTGTTTCTGAAACTGCTGTGCAACATGCAAATATCAGTGTGCAGGATCAGTAAAGTCTCAACTTATTTTAATCATGTCAGGTTCATAAACAATATCCATGTAACCATTTACTCCCTGTTTTAGGTGCACACATTTGCATATTTATATTATATATTTATAATATATCCTTAATATAACATGAAATATTCTAAACAATTCAAGTTTGGTTACTTTTGAAACTGAATATTTTTATTATT